CTAACATACTTTGGACATGTTGCAAGGAGGAATAGGTCCTTGGAGAGGGACATCATGCTTGGGAGGGTGGAGGGACAGCGCAGGAGGGGAAGACCCCCTATGAGGTGGATTGATTCAGTGACGGGGTAATCTGGATGGGTGTATCGGAGATGGTGCGATTGGCATAGGACAGAGCAGAGTTGAGGGCTGTTGTACATAGGGTCACTATGAGTCTCAAGCAACTCGACGGCACATAACAACATAACAACTATCTATCTATCTATCTATCTATCTATCTATCTATCTATCTCCAACACTTCTTCCTGCTCTGTCTGAATCTGAAAGCTCCACTGAAACCTGTCCACTATGGGTAACCCTGCTCTAGCTCACAGTATCACACAGAAGACAATAAACTCACAGAAGACAATAAACTCACAACTAGATTTACTCTCTATAATGAATTCCTGTTAAATATGAGTCCTCTGGCTTCTTGAAGTCCAGAAAGCTCACTGATCTCTTCTTTCTGACATCTAAAATCCCTAATTGGCCCAACATTTGAGGTGGCAAATTCAGCAATGCTGGGAGCAAATTGTTGGCAAGAATGCTAGTGAGCGATTAAAGTCAGTGCAGCTTAAATTAGACATAGTGGAGGAAAATCCCCCAATTCAGTAACCTACATCAAACATAAGGAAAGGACTTCTTATCTTCATTAACCTGCATAAAACATAAGGGAGTGGCTTCTTATCTTCATTAACCTTTATCAACCTGAGATTTCATCACAGAGCATATTGAATCTACTGACTCTGATAGTACAAATGTAGGAACAATGATTCAGCATGTCACATGGGACCATTTCCTCAGAAAGGAGTGGTGTCAGAAAAGCAGTCACAGACCAGACCCAATGACCTCAAACCCCACCCCCCAAACCCCAGCCCCTGCATTACAATCAACCCTGGGGAAACTGTCTGTGAAGAGAGAGCAGACCCATATCATCTACAGTCACATTATTGTCAAGAGTTGCAAGGCCATTCAATGGGGAAAGCAGAGTCTTTTCAATAATCGATGCTGGGACAACTGCATACTCCCACGTCAAAGAATGAAATTGAACCTTTACATTATACTATATGCAGGAGCGGCATCCACTTCCAAAATGGCTTGCCTCCGGAAACTCTATGTACAAACAGTTCTCAGGCCGTTCGTTCATAGGGTCGCTATGAGTCATCTACGACTCGACGGCACCAAACAACAACAACAACATATGCAAAATTAATTAAAAATGGATCATAGAATAGAATTAATAGCAAAACCCCTAAATCTCTTGCAAGAAAGCACAGGAGTAAGGAATTATGACCTTGGAACTGACAAAGGATTATTAGATATGATATTAAAAGTATTGGCAACAAAGAAAAAGAAATTACTTAATCAAAATTTTAAAATGTTTGCGCTTCAGAGGCCATGAAATGTTAAGAGACAAGTCCGTAGACTCTTGAGGAAGTCTTGTCATACCTACTCTTTCCACCCTCTCATGTTGCTGTTGTGTACCATTGAGTCAGAACTGACCCCCAGCTGACCCTCTAGCTGGTTTTCAGAGGCAGTAAATCACAGAGGAGGAGATTGCCTATATTTCTCCTGTGGAGCCACTGGTGGATTCGAACCAGGTACTTTTGCACTGGCACTGCAAATCGTTACCACTAAGCCACCCCAGCTTCCTCCACCCTCTCACAGAAGCCCGAAATCTCCACTAAGGCTGCCCACTTACTTGACTAGATTTTGCTTTCCTTGTAGTTCTAGTGATAAGGACCTTTGAACTTGAGAATTCTGAGTTCTTGCTATATTTTCCTCAAGCTTTTAAGAGACCAAAGTTTATAAATTTTAAAATAAAATCTTACTGGATTGAGCATGTCTCATGGCTTTATCTGAGCACAGTCTCAGCTTCTGTAGTTATTGTTCTGACATCGCAGAAACAGTCTCCTAGAATGTAAACTCACCATGATGGAAGGTTATTTATTCTGACAATCAAGCTGTTTTACCCAAATCCCATCTTTTATGTTATAAACTTTGATGCATTTTAACTGTTGTTCTTGTGATTGGCATATTGATGCTGACTCATGGTGGCCCCACATGTGCTGGGCAGAACCACCACTCCATGAGGTTTCCATGCCTATCAAGTGGCAAAAGCAGATTGCCAGGCTTGTCCTCCCAGCTGCCTTGGGGTGAATTTAAACCAGCAGCTTTACAGGTAGTGAAGTACTAAACTATTTGCACCACTCAGAGTCTCCTGCTGCACACGTTACAAAGCTATTCTCTCAATTAATGGCTTGTATAATCCTTGGAAGAAAACCTAGATGAATGGAGAAGACAGAAGGTTGGTTTGGTTTGTATTTTTTTTTTTAGTCTTGAGAAAAGATAAATAAACAGGAGGAAAGAAGAAACAGAGGAGCAGGAAGGCTAAAGAGTGTGCCCTGAACTTGAAATTGAACACTCACTGTTTCACACTATTAGATATATCTATTTAAAACCTTTCTTCCCCACCCACACTGCCTTTGGGAAAAACTAACCAGACCGTGCTCAAAGCTAAACGCTCCACTGTGACCCTAACCTGAACTACACCAACCAGCAGAGGTATACGTGATTATGTTTGTGGTATAAATCTTCTCTCTCAAAACTCTGACTCATGTTTCACCCTCCCTGGCACACAGATCCAGCCATCTGTATACGTATTTTCCTTGCGTGGAATTAAAAGCCACACTTGTTTGGCATAAATAACCCTGTTCCTTGTTTGAAATTAATAATCCATTTTCTATTGTTTGGAGATATGTAGATTAAAGACATTAATCTTCAGTAGACGGCAAGAAAGACAGATGAACAATTGTTGCTGTGTGAATCATAATTAATGTTTTGGTCACTTATTAAAGTGAAGGGCTGGGGATCATATAGTTATAAATACTTAAATGTGGAGCATTATTTGATCAAGACTAGAAGGAATATAATAATATTGAGTCAGTTCTGACTCACAGAAATTTGATAAGTCAGTGTAGAACTGACCTATAATTTTTTTTTTTTTAGGTTTTCTGTTTGTTTGGGTTTTGGTGTGTGTGTGTTTTTTACCTGTAGGTTTTCAGAGGCTATAAATTTTTACCTGAGGGCACTGAGGGCCTGGTACTCCAAATTATTGACTTCTCAGCAGCCCAACATTTAACCTACTGTGATACCAGGAAAAAGGAAGCTTATGATAATGTTACCATGGCTAATTACCATTGAGCTAGCCCCAACACATGGCAACACTATGAATAACAGAATGGAACATTATCCAGCACTGTGTCATCCTCACAGTCTTTTTATGTTTGATCCATTGTGCTAATATGTCAGTCCTTCTCATGAAGTCTTTACTTGGTTTTCACTAGCACGCTGGTTTACCAAAAGAGCTCTGATGGCCTAGTGAGTAAGGAGTTGTATTGGCAATCCAAAGGCAGGCAATTTTAATTCACCAGCTATTCCATGCAAAGTACTGAAAAGGACTAAGGTCCGCCTAATACAGGCTATGGTCTTTGCAATCACTTGCTATGCACCAGAGAGCTGGACAATGACTAGGGATGATAGAAGGAGAATTGATGTCTTTGAGCTGTGCTGTTGAAGAAGAGTATTGAATATACCATGTACTGCTATGAGAATGAACATGTTCTTCCTGGAAACTGTGAAACCATGCTGCTCCTTGAATTCAAGGATTCTGAAGCTTCGTCTGATATACTTCAGGCATGTTACAAGGAGCAACCAGTCCTTGAAGAGGGACAATGCAGGAGAGGAAGACCCTCAATGAGATGTATTGATTCAGTGACTGGGGTAATGGGGATAAGTGTGTCTGAGACAGTGAGACTGGTACGGGATAGGGCAGGGTTTACGGCTGTTTAACATAGGGTCGTTGTGAGTTACAGGGGACTCAATGGCACGTAACAACAACTCCATGGAAGAAAAATGGGCAATCTCTTCCTGTTTGGGTTACAACTTCTTTTTTTTTTTTTTGTTACAACTTCTGAAAATCCACTGAGAGATCAACTATAAGTAGAGTCCAACTTGATGGCATGCAGCAAGAACAACTGCCACTCTGCCAACATTCATGTCATTTTCTAATTGGTCTTCCATGGTGATAAGTACAAAATGAGGAGAACGAGTGTTAATTCTCATGGAATCCAGGTTTCTTTGTTCCATAAAAGTTAGAGGTACTCAGCTAAGTTATTGCTTTGAGCTGATCTTTGAATCTTGATCTTTGAGAGGATTGGTTTTCTCAAGTCATCTTTGAATCAGACAAACTTCTGATTTTAGTATGAACGCTACTTAATTAGTTAAGAATGGGTTTTGCTTAATATGACTATTTCTAAATTTACACACTAACCCCTAAAGCCAAAGATGAAGAAATTGAAGATTTTCCCCAACTTCTGCAGTCTAA